ACTGATAGTAAAGGCTTTTTAACCAGAAGTCTTCTTATTTCTCCATCAACATTATCTGGGGAACAGAGTAAAACTACAGATTCTAGGGTCTCACCACCGAGATTCTCAAATAATGTCTGGGATGATGCCCTAGAACTAATATCTTTCAAAAGTCTCCTAGGATGATTCTAATACAGGGTGCCTTTGAATGCACTTTGAGACACAATGATTTAAAGTTATCTCTGGCCCAGGTTGCTTGGTATTTGTTCCAGGGAAATGTTTGAGCACAACACCAGTTTGAACCGCCTGCCTGGTAAAACCCACCCCTATACATGCAGCGTCTTCACCCAGACATTGCAGGTCACTCCTGTCGTCTTTCCTCCCTTTTCTCCATTCACGTTTCTCGGGTGTTTCTTCCCACACCCATGGGGTTTGCCAAGTCTTTACTAATGGAAAGATTGGACAATTGGCAAAAAGAGAGAGATGATAGTTCGGAGGGTGTTCTCAGGCTCCAGATAAGCAAGTGCTCCCTGCCCCTCTGAGGCTGTTTCACTGGGAACTGTTTCCTGGGACTGAGGGAATCCTGCAAAGAACCATGCTCTGAATTTAAATCAAAGTCACCCTCCCTCAAGAGAAATCCACATATGGTTCATCTGGCCTGGCTTTTCCAGGCAGGCATACCCAGCAACCAGGCCCAACATCCTCTTGTGCCCACAGGCGTTTGTGTTTAAAATCCCAGTAAAAAAGAAAAATGACAGTTCAAGGGGTAATTGAGTGTCTGTGGTTTATCTATTTGTTTTCTTCCCTGTCTCTGAAGCTTGAGAAGCAATGCAGACAAATGGGTCATTGCCTCAGCCTATTCCTGGCCCAGGAGCAGCTGCAAAATGTTAGGACAATGGCAATGACAATGGGTATGGAGAGGGCCCAGAGCTGAGGCCCAGGGTGGAGTCAGTCTCCCTGGACACCCTGAGTTGGGAGAATGCCAGGCACGGATGTGTCCAGAGACCACTGCTCTTTCTGTATGTTATGAGGCTCCCCTTTATCGTGTTTAGTTAACGATAAAGATGAAGACATGGCTGAGAGAAGTAAGGCGTGGTTCAAAGTCAACTAGGCTGAGTTTGAGATATAATTTTAAAATAGCTAGATAAAAATGGCATAGTAAACAATATTGATAGTCATAACAGTAATCGTAATAATGGCTTTTCACACATCCTGCACATTACTTGTGGAAAAATCACTGTTATTTGGATTCCGGAAAGATTGAAGTAGCTGAGACACAGGGATGTGGTCATGAGCCAATGCTTTCTAAAGAGCCAGGGCACTCTGACATTTTTGAAAATGACATAATTGTTGTATGTTGTTTGTTCTCTTGTCAGTCCTTCCTAAGAGAAACTAAGGCCAAGTTTATTACTTTATAGCACTACTGAGCCTGTACTCAATAGGTGCTCAAAACAATAGTAGGTGTTATGTATATTTACATAACAATGATGTAATTACATGACAATTCCAAAACTAATAATAAGCCTTATGTTTTGTGAAAGCAAGTTTAAAGAAAAACATACACAAGGGGGTTTTCAGACATACGACTCAGAAAGGTTTAAGATTTCTTTTTCAAAAAGGTTGCAGACGAGAATGGTAACTCACTGTGAAGTCCTAAATAAATCTAAATGTCCATTTCTCCCCTAAATATTCAGACAGGTCCAAATAAGGAATATAACATTTAAAGAAAATACTGCGATGCTAAAATGGAAAAGGTTTGTCAAGTTTGGGGAATGTGGGTGAGAAGATCACAGACCACAGATGAGTATAAGAATGGAGTTAACCATCTTTAGAGTTTTCACCAAAGGTATTTTTTTCCTTGTGCAACATGGAAACTTTAGGAGGAATTGGAGATTTTCCCTCACTGGTAACAGGCAGACACTGAAGAGAGATCATGAAGACAAGAAGATTGTGGTTAATAGAACAGCAGACAAATGGGTAATATGACAGCAACTGGATGATACTTGGTGAGATTGCTGGGATAACGAACTTCTGAGGATACCCTATTGTGAGCAGTTTGAAGACTTAGGGAGAGGAGTTTAGGAGCTGCCTCTCATATGGTGGAGACTGTATATGTGGAGGGAGAGAATCCTACTCTAAAACCAAAGAAAAGATTTTTCCCTACTCCCACTCAGACATTCTGGGAAAAAAATGACTATTTAGAAAGTGAATGAAATTCAAACTATGTGCATTTCTCTAGGAATTTTCCTTCAAATAGAACTCAACTTAGGCTACTACGTCCAGTCCACCTTTTTAATCCAAAGTGAAATGCCAAACTCAAGACCAAGAAGCATCAGAAGCAATATTAGATCAACTGGTCAAAAGGGCCATTATTAAAACTATTTATATTTGCCAAAACAAAAATCCATGTTTTTTTCACCTACAGAAGCCAACTTCCCCCTCATTGTTTCCCTGCCCTCTCTTTACTTTTCCTCTTGCAAACATGCAAAATCCGTCTTCATCTTTTCCTCTTTCTCATCTGGATGCCAAAGAAACCATTTTAGCTTTGTTTTCGTGTTTCAAGAAAGCAGCCGAAGGCCAGAGAATAGTGTGTTTTAATTCATTTTGAAAAACAAACTCACACAGATTGATTCTTCAGGTCCCCTGACTTGGACCTGGCACATTAAGAAGTCCAAACAACTCTGCATAGTTACATTAATCGTGTTCTTGTGCTGCAAAGTCACTGGATGCGGGTAGCAGTGAAACATTCCCAAGACAATCACTAAACATGCAGAATGCCAGCCAGAAGCATGAATCACTTTCAGGGGTCTTGCTGCAGGGAGCATGAGGTTGTATTTTGTGTGCATTGACAACTGTATAGGATAAGCCAGCTGTGTCCGAGGGAGCAAAGCAACCCCTATTCTTCTGAACCTAAAGGGGTTTCCTCCTCAAAGAACCATGTTTTCAATCCCTAAACTTTGGGGCCAGATACAGCTCTATGTGGCATTTGTTGCTCTTTGGAGAGTCAAAGCCAAGCCACCATGAGCATGAAAGCTGTGTGAGCCACTTCTTCCCTCCTCCCCAGCATGGAAAGAATAATTGCCATTTCACCCTACAAATCCAAAAGAGTCTTCCCCATCCCTGGGTTCAAGCACGGACACAAGCCAAGCAAGCCTCAGATACCCAGGCCTGTTTGATTGTAGCTATGTTGGTGTATCTCGTGTACGAGGTGGGAAAGTGCTTTTGTTGTTCTACCTGATCCAGTTAGGGGAGCAGGACTAGGGGGTGCCTGCCTAACGGTCCCTAGCCCATGTGCTTATACTGGGATCTGTCCCGAGGGATCTGCACCTGGTTGGCAGTCATTTTGTGGTGGACGTGGTAAATTGCGAGTGTTACCACAATGACGAGGCCCAAGATGAGCCCCAAAATCAGGGGCAAGGTTTCTTCCAGTTGCTCCCGCTCATCCACTGGGCATTTATGCTCTGAAATGGGAAAGAAGAAAAGCAGTGAGCTCTGGTCAAAATATTCTGAGTCATAAGTTCTACAAAACAAAAAGGGAAATGGAAGTAAAAAGATTTCTCAAGGAAGCTTTGGGACTATTTTTCAGAAACAGTTTTCCCTAACCAACCCCAAGGTTAACACTTAATCTTTCCACATAATGTATAATAAAAATGCATCAATTAAATAGGACAACATTTAATTATTGGATTCCTGGCAGATGTCAACAAACCATCCAGGTAATTTATTTAAAGGTTCAGAGTTTCACCATTAGACACAATCATCATCATTTTTATTGTTGATTCATTTTTAACTTTTTATTAAAGTAATATGTACACATAATACATTGTATAAAATTATATAAGTTTCAAAAAGACTGAAAATACCAAGTGTTGGTGATGATGTGGAATGACTGGAACTCGTAACACCCCTGTTGAAAAATGTCGTGACCACTCTGCAAAACCGTTCGATAATTTCTAATAAAGACAAACATACGCAGCATCCCATTCCTAGGTATTTACCCAAGGAAAATGAAAACATAAAGAACACAAAAAGACTCGAACATAAATGTTCGTAGCAGCTTTATTAATAATAGCCTAAAACTGGAAATAACCAAAATGTCCATCAAAATGGAATGGATAAATTGTGGCATATATTCATATAATGGAACACTAGTCACTAATAAAAAGGAATGAACTATGGCTACACATAACAAAATGGGTACATCTCAGAAATATTATGCTGACAGAAAATTGCCAGACACAAAAGAGTGTATACATACTGTATGATTCCATTTATATGAAGTTCAAGAACAGGTAAAACTAACTTTGGTGATAGAAGTCAGAATGTGCTTATATCTGGGGAAAGGAACACAAGGGAACTCTCACCTGTGATGGAAATATTGTAGATCTTGATCTAGGTGATGTTCACATGGTTGCAAATATAGGTACAAAAGCATTAAACCATACATTTTAGATTTGTTTATTACTGTGTTATTTTTTATTTATACACACTAATCATACATTTTTATGGGATACATGTGATATTTTGTTACATGCATACACTGTAACGATCAAGTCAGGGAATTTAGGATATTCATCACCTCCAGAATTTATCATTTCTATGTGTGGAGAATGTTTCAAGTCCTCACTTCTGGCTATTTTGAAATGTACAACACATGGTTGTTAACTATAGTCACCCTACTCTGCTATTGAATATTAGAACTTATGCCTATCTAACTCTATGTTTGTACTCAATTACCGACCTCTCTTTAGTCCATTCTCCCCAAAACACACACACACACACACACACACACACACACCCACACACACCCACCCATATCCTTCCCAGCCTCTGGTATCTCTCTACCTCCCTGAGGTCAATCTATTGAGCTCCCACATGTGAATACATGCAATATTTGTCTTTCTGTGTTTGACTTATTTCACTTAATGCAATGTTCCAGTGCCATCCACATTGTTGCAAATGACATGATCTCGCTCTTTTCAATGGCTGAATAGTATTCAATTGTGTATACACACCACATTTTCTTTATCTGTTTAAGTGTTCATCCGTTGATGGACACTTAGGTTGATTCCATAACTTTGCTATCGTGAATAATGCTGGGATAAACATAGGGGTGCGTGTAATATATGTAAATTATACTATACTTTTTAAGTAAGTGTAGAGCTTGATGAATTTTTACAAACATCTCATGTAACCAACATCTAGATCAAGAACACAAATGTTAGCAGCACCTCAGCATTGATTTATTTTTCATCCTCCTAAAATTCAAGATAGCTTCGTAGTGCTGAGTCTCCATTTTTTTACATAGAACCACCAACAACAAAAAACTATTCTTGGGAGACGTTCTAGTCAGTTTGTCAGGCTAACCAGAACTGCATTCCTAGAAACCAGAACAGGCTCATTTGCTTCTTGTGGGTAACTGGTGTCCTTTTAACCAAAATCAGGAGCCACAAGTGAAAAATAAACAAGCTTTACATGTCTCTTCATAAAGTCCAAGTTTTTAAAGTCCAGATGACCAAGTAAACATTTATTAAGTATCTACTGTATGCCAGTCTCCTCCAGAATCTCTATTGACATAGTCCCTTCTCTCACCTTGCCTGAGATCAGCAGAAAGGAAAAGGGATGAGCTTTTCTCTCTAATAATAATTAGTGGAGACTTACTTTCACATATACAGCTTTTGAAAACTGTATACTTGACATTCCTAGTCCCTAAATTAACAGTCAGTTCTAAGCACAAAGATTATCTGGTTAACCCTCTGAGGTACACAATATTATTATACTCATTTTACACATAAGGTAATCAAGTCATAACGATGATAAGTGGTTTGCACAGGGGTAAATGAAGTCTGATCTGAACTCAAACAACTTAACACTATAGTTGGGGCAGCACTTAACAGACCTAAACTACTGGCATTAAAAGGCTGCAGAATCCCAAGGTGGAGCAGAAAGGAGAGTTTGTCAGTTCGGTTTCCTGATCTGCATGCTGGTTGCAGAGGTTCATCCAGCATCTGAAAATTCAACGAGCTGGATACTTATTACAAAGGGGCACAAGGAAGCTTTCCAGGGTGATGAATATGTTGATTTCTTGATTGTGGTGATGGCTTCACAGGTGTATTCATAAGTCAATATTTATTAAATTACATGCTTAAATGCATACAACAATTGTACCTAAATACAACTTTTCATATGTGTATATGTGTATAAAAATACATATATGTATATGTATCTATACAATATACATATATATAATAGAAAAACACATTCTTCTAGAAATAGCTTTTTTAAAAGATAGTTTGGCAAATGGTAAAGAAATGTTAAGGACTTATTAGGACTAAACTGAGCCTTTCTTCTTATTATAACCAAAAGGTTGGAAAAGAATTTGCAGGGAACTTTTTCCCCCACTATTTGATTCCATTCTAATGAGTCCCAACACTTTGAGGGTCAGACTGGACCGACACATCCATTGCTCCAGGGACAAGACCTGAGATGACACAGTGTATCAGAAAGAGTGGCAGACCTAGAACTTCATGATGCCAGCATTGCGGTCTTCTTCTCCAATATGATACCATATTGCCTCTTTGAAGAGAACAATGAATAGAAATGGGATCATGTGGGGTAGGAATTTTGTTAACAACAAAGGTTATTTATTTTCCTCATGATAACACCCTGTTGCCCATGTAATGTTAACACAGATTGCAGGGTTTGATTGGTTTGCAGGCGCTAGTGGCAACCTCATGCAATTTTTTCTTACTTAATACAATACATTGAATAGAAGCAAATAATTTTTAAAATATTAAGAAGAAATACACTGATTTCAAATTATTTAGTAATAAGGCTAAGTCTGTTTTAAATGGTAAAAATAAAAAAATAAATTATCTCACAAAAAATAGCAAAGACCTCAGGACCTTCAGACTCTCTTCTGTGCACCATTCCAGGCTGCTACTTGAGCAGACCCCAGGCATCTTTACAAGGTTGCCCTTGTGGCCCTATCCTGTGTCTCTTCTCTTCTTAACTCTCTCCCCTGCAGAGCAATTTCATAGTTACCCAGACTGTCAGACCATGGTTTTAGCTCACTTCTCCCTGCTTACACTCTAGTTACCCAGGCACACAATCAGCCAGGAGCCCCAAATACAACATCTATCTCCCTAGGCAGAATGGGAGAGGCAATGGAGAAAGAGTTGTGTCTGGGAGCAAGAGCTTACATAGCAAAACCACTGGAGAACATGGACAGGTGGTGTCCTGTGTGGCCCCAACTACAGGTATTCAGGACAGGGAGGGTGGTGAGTTAAGAAAGCTTCAGGAGGAAGGGAGGTTGGAGTTGGATTGGGAAGAATCCGGGAATGGGGCACCAAATGACCTTGTCCAATTTGTAAAGTCATGTTTTCTCTTTTCTCTTGGTTTGTACCATAACAATGAATAAATAGATATACAGATAGATATAGTTGTAGAAATAGAGATATACATGAACTTTTAGTGGTTCCATAGATCCAGATTATCACATCAAGAGGGAGTAGATGTAATGGAACATTGTGAGGGAGAGAGATGATAGTGGGTTCAGATCCCAGATCTTCCACTGTCCAACCCTGGGCGAGTCTCTTAATCTACTAAGCTTCAGTTTCCTGTAAAATCGAGATGACACCTACTTTACAGGGTTGCTGTGAGTGTCAAATGTCATACTACAGAAGGCCAAGCACAGTGCCTGGCACAGAGTAGCTTTTCTATCATTGTTCACTATAAAAATAGAAGTCTTACACATTTAAGTCTTCTATGTACTTCTTTTAAGTACGGGAGCCTTTGGAGCTCAAGTACCAAATGTATTGTTTCTAAATGGATAGTAAAAAGAATGTCTCATATCTCATTCTTTAAGAAAAATAGAGAAAAGTTGATACAGTATGGTAAAAGAAAGGGAAAGAAAAAATATGCTTAGAATGCTATCATGATTTATTTCTCAGATGATTATCTTTTGTTGCATTAGGAAAAAAATAGAATTAATCACACCACAGAAAAGGGCAATATATAGAGGATACCAACTACAAAGATGTCAAAAAGTATCATAGCTAATACTAAATCCCGCACTTACCAACCCCTATCCAGTAAGTGGTCAAATAAAAAGGAATTCCTGAGCCCACTCTCTTATCCACTGTTTCAAAATCTGCAAAGCTCTGAAAACAAAAAGTACTTTGTAATCACTTGTTTGGCAGCAAAACCTGACTTAGTCTAATGTGAGGCTGCTTGCAGTTTTCAGTCATCCTACTTAGTATGACGTTTCACATGTTACACCACAGGGAACAGAGATATTAGTATGTTTGATTGCATGGGGCTGCCCTGACTCTTCTGTGGTCTTATGTAATCTATAAACTGTGCACTGCATAGTCTTCCTAAAGTCTAAAATATTCTGAATTCTGAAAACCATCTAGCGCCAAGGTTTTTTGTTTGTTTTTTGTTTTTGTTTTTTTAGTTCGATCTGGGTTTTAAATGAGGGATTATGAACCCATAAAAGCAGGACATGCTTTTCTCTTTCAGGCTTAAGACAGTGCTTTTAATCTCTGCCTGTGACCCATGGGAAAAAAAAAAACAGTATTTTACATGGCGGCTTAGAGCATATGTACACACAGAGACCTAAAGCAGAAGTTTGACAAACAATAGTTATCCTTGCTTTATGCATCTAATAATTTCTGCTCTATTCTATTGTTTCATTTAAAACAATGCTGCTCATGACCTACTAAGAAAAGGTTGTAATCTTTTTTGTGCAAGTATAATAAAACTAAGGACCCCTTCTCAGAATAATGTTTATGAATACATAAAAAATAAAATAAACACAATTACAAGGGAAAGTGAAATTCAGTCATCACATATTTTTAAAAGAATTTCAGATACAGCAACATATGTACTTCCTTATTGGAACACATACATGTTGGTTACGATTATAAAGTGGTGAGAAGCATAAATGTTACTTTGCAAGATCTGCACAAACTAATGTGAGATGAAAATACCTATGATGTCTATTGGTGACAGTCACAGGTACTGCTAGTACTACTGTGGTCTGTCACCTTCATTTGTAAACAAAGGAAGTGCTAAATATTAATCAGAAGTTAGTGAAAATAAAGATAGAAATTTTTTCCTCTGAATTCTATCTATAAACCATATATACCCCAGGGTTAAAATCTTATACTAAACTGATTATGCAATCCGCAGATTACAAAACAAGCTTCCTTGTTTTGTATCTGCAGAAATCTCCTCTGATTTCTGCCAGGGAGAAGAGCATCTGTTGGCTTAGCCCGGACCTCATCTGGCTTCTGCTCTCCCTGAACCCCTGACTCCCTGTCCACCTCCACAGGACTTAGGGTCCCTCATGCCTCTGCTCTTGGTGGACTCAAGGCTCCAGAGTACACACAACAGGGGCCCAGGGTAAGTGGCCTTGGCTGGAAGAGACAAAAACCAGCCTCATCATTGGAAAGAACCAGATGAAGACAAAACAAACAATAAATGAATAATCTGTGGCTGCCAGTTGCCAACAAAAGTCTCCTCAACCCTTAACCCAAGCGTACCCACTAAAATCATAATTTATCTTAGGTACTGGTTGCTAGATAAGTGTTTTATTTCACGACAGCATTTTAAAATTATATTGACTCCCTCAGATAAGCTACAAGAGTGCTTCATTGCACCCCCAATGAACAGCTTTGGAATAGGCAAGGGAAGCAGAGGCAAGCTCTCTGCTTCCCCAGGCTCTCCTAGCACCATGGACAGAAACCGTTTGAAGAGGAGGGCAAGCTTTTTGTGAGCTGTGCTTCCCTTGTTGTTTGGCAAGGCAAGATAGAGGAAGGGTTTGACCCTCTTTCCATATGTTCCCTGGGCTGGCTCTGGACTCCTGTCACATCAGCCAAATGTATTTTGTATACTGAGAAGTTGTTAAGGTGAGTGGGCTGTCGAGACCTTTGACTGGAGACAAGCTGATACCCTCATCGAGATGTAAGCATTCGCTAGACACAGTGGCATCACCACCCAGCTATTTGGGAGACTGAGGTGGGAAGATTGCTTATGCCCAGGAGTTCAAGGCCAGCCTTGACTCCCATCTCAAAAAAAAAAAAAAAAAGATTTAAGTATTGGAGAAGAAAAAAAATAATAAGAGCAAGTATTGTTTGATGCCACTGTATGCCAGGAACATGACTTGCACTGTATACACCCTATCCCACTTGCATTGTATATAACCTATCCCACTAGACTGAAAGTTTCAGCGAGGCAGAAAAAGTTCTTATATCCCAGTACCTAGGTGTAGTGGACACAGACACTGCCCATTCTTCTTTCGGCATTCACCAGTCCCATATATCCCAATGGGTTTTGACTACAGAGTAGGTCAGAAGTCCTAGGGAGTTCATGCTTCCACAGTGACCATCAGTGATAGATGGCACTTGGTGGGTAAACACTGGTTTTCTCACCCTCAGGTGAGATAATTCTGAGACATATCCTATGCTATCTCCAGAGGACAGTATCCGAAGCAAGAAATTCTATGACTGGCTAACTCCATGGCTGAAGGCTGGGGCTCCATCTTGGAGTCCTCAACACAATTCTCAGCTGTGTTCATAACAGATTATTTCCCTTTGGCTGCTTACTCAGGAAGCCTTGAGGACCAACTGTCTAGGGTAGCATGTGTCTTGACAGGGAAGTGCCAGGTAAATCACAGGTCTACAAAACTTTCTGGATCAGCAAACCCTTCATGCGTTTGTGACATGACAGCTTGCCACAGAATGCTCTACTGGGGGGCTGGTGGATAGAGAAACGTAAGCCATGTTCATTTCCACTAACACTAAAGTTCCCACAGATCCAGGTAAAATACAAATTAAGTGGCATTTCCCAATCATGATGCTAGAAACAATATTAAAAAGCTCATGAATTTGGGGTACCCAACAAACTCTGTAAATGCCTCTCACACTCACATGCTGATGATAGCTACTCAGCAGGAGCAACTGTGGCCCTCAGATACTAAGGACAAAAGCTCTGATATTCAAAGACAGGTTCTAGGAGGGAAGCCTTCACCAAGTCACTTCACCTCCCTGAGTCTCAGCTGCTCCATTGTAAATGGGGATCTCAGTATCTTTCTGCAGTTCTGTTAGTTTGTTTTGGTTTGTTTTGTTCGCCCCTTGAGAGATTATTAAAAAGGGACCAACCTATAGGTGATGTCTTTTAAATGCCTGATAGACCTGAATCCTGAATAAAGGGAAATAGAGGTAGCCTTCCTATTCTATTATGTTTTTTTCTGACATAATACATACAAGTTTCTTTTTACTCAAGCTATTAGAATACTCAGGCTGGTTTGTTCCCTCCCAGTGACACATCCCCCATCCCATCTCAGCCAGAAATCACATGGGGCTCTCCAAGGGAACTGCGGGCCTTTGATGAGACCCTCAAGAATTAATTGTGGAAGAACAAGGTAATCAACCCCAAAAGAGAAACAGAGTGCCTCAGATTGCAGGGGTGATAGCTTCTATTGCAGGGGTGATAGCTTCTATTGCAGGGGTGATAGTGTCTATTGCAGGGGTGATAGTTGCTGTACAAAGTGTATTTGGTAAATAAATAAGCCAAAGATGGCCTCTGTGTATTGACCTGTAGGTGGTGTATTTCTTCACTGCAGGCTGAGACTTTAGCTTAAAAGCCTGTTGGCACCAAACTCCCACATTTTTACACATCCAATTATTTTTAAAATAGTTTAAACAAGAAAATTTGCAGCTGTTTAGAGCCTGCCTGCTTTGCATACTCCTTGAAACCTCATGCAACAGCTGTTACCCATTGAAAAGACAGGGCCTTGGAGTTATAAGGCCCCAAGGCACTGCTACCTCCAGAAGCTCTGGGACCCATGGACTCCCTGCTGTGCCGCTGAGCAGATGTCGCCTAGACTCATAAACCCCTCTCCAAAGCCCCTCTGCTTTGGCCATTCCCTTGTCCTCTTCTTTTTCTGGATGGCGGTCCCATAAGCCTCCCTCTGGACAGTCTCCTGCTGTGAGGGGCTTCCCTTCTCATAAAACCCTGTCCAAGTGTCTTCCAAAGAAGCGTATTGTGCCCTTAATCCTTCAAACTCTCTATAGTGCTCCATGGGCCAGCAGCATCACCTGAGACCTTGCTAGCAACAGAGCTTCTTGGGGCCCACTCCCAGACCTAAGTGAACCCAACTCTGAGTGCTAACAATATCACCACAGTCATTGCACGTTGCAGCTGAAGGTTCATGAGCAGATTGCTGGGCTGAGACTTTTGTTTGGGGATCAGTGTAGTAGCCAAGTACAATGCACTAAAGGGACTCGTGTGATAAAGATGTCAACCTCCATTTGGACTGCTCTCAGCCCTTGTGAGTGTCCACATACTGACTTTATGGACCCTTTCTTGATTTTCTTATAAAGTCTATTCAGTAGACAGATGTGAAGACTGCCAGGTATGACCCCCTTACACAAGGAATAGACTCTTTGCAGGAAACCATTATGCTGTGCTGGACAATGGCCACGGTCCAAACACATGAACACACAAACACACACACAAACACATACACACACACGAACACATAGACACACCCCTGCAGTAGGTGTGCAGATATATGACATAATACTCCCTCCCCATGCAAGCATATTCCACTCACACACACACACACACTAAAAGCCCCCTGAGCTTCTATTCTGGGGACAAAGGCCCAGTGCTAGATCCTGAAAAGGCAACCAAAAGGAATCTTTAAAATTCCACCAAATCGAAAATAATGATCTCTTACAAAACACAGTCGGGGCAGGTGCTGAGAGGCACAGACAGGAGGAGCCAGGAACAAAAAAAATGCAGTCACACAAAGGCACACTGATCCAGTGTGTGATTCTGAATGAGGCTTGCCACCTCCCAGGAATGTCAAGGGGTAAGCCCGGGGACACCATACACAAGAGAACATCCTAATTATTAGCCAGAAAAGCCTGGAGTGAGACAAGTGTCATTTGCTTGTGACTTCTCTATTCACATTTAGGAAGTTATATGTGGTTATAAACTCTCTATCTATCCAGCAGCCTTCCCTATCTAGGACCTTGAAGTGGATCAAAATTGGTTTTAAAAGAAAAGATACCGTTTACTCCATGCAATGAATTGTACGGAGTTTTAGGAAAGTGGCTCTGCTCCTTATTCAGTGTTTATTTATTCTTACTTTATAAACAGTTCTAAAAATCTATGAGGTTTGATTTCTCAGGCCAGAGCCTGTTTGGTGCCATCGGGCTTTTGAGCTAAAGTCTCAGCTTGCAGTGAAGAAGCATTTTCTCATTTGAAGAATTTCTCATTCTAAGCAATGACTTAGAGATAACAGAATGGTAAGGAGCTAGGAGAAGCAGCAATTATAGCACCAGTGGTAACAAGAAGTAAAGAAATGCCTAGTAACAGCTAATCAGCAAAAACTAGAAAGTCATAATAAACTATTAAGAGTACCCATATAAACTCAAAAACATTTATGGCAGGGTCCTGGGCACTAGGAAGTGACATTACATAGTCCAATTATTTTCATAATAAATTCCTTGTCATCAATAATCATAATAAGTCAAATTATATTTGATTGTGCTTAATATTTTCAGTTTAAGAAAGACACTATTACATTTTATAAATACTTCCATAAACAAAAGGATTTTAAAAACCTGTTAAGGTCTTGACACAGTTTAGTAGCTCCAACTTTGTAGAAAATACATTAACATGGGATAACCTATCCTTACACCTGAACAGGTAAGTGTGACACTGCTTTACTAAATATATGACATTCTGATTTGCATGATATGGCAGCATTTGGAAGTCTCTACTAATTAAATCCACACCGTCAAAATATAAACTCAGTCAGAGTTAACTGGATATCTGCAATATGCCAAGCACTGTATATTAGGTGCTAATAATATAAAAATGAATAAGAAATGGGCCCTTTTCTTGAAAACAATTTAACTTAGGACTTCTTAAATGCCTTCTCAATAATTAAGGTGGAGGGTGGTGCATTCTGTTCAGTAATAGGTTGAGTGGAAGCTGCATTTTATGAAAGCTAGATACCTTGGAAAAAGATCATAGATGAAAAAGGTGGAGATTCTCTAATATCCTGAACATTGGAATTGTTGTATTCACCTAGGGGTCTCCAACCCAAAGAAAGGCACAAACAAAGCAATCAAAATTTTTTCTGATTTTTTTATCCATGTAGAATAAACAGAATATAAAATGTAATAACCTCCTTTGTGAGGGAGAGAGAATAAATGACATGAATCCACTTATCCCACACTTGCCTAAAGTAAATTGTTGCCGGACTTGAGCAAATTGCAGAAATTTTGACTCCCCTTGTGCCCTACCTCTGCGGGGGTGCTGAGAATGAAAGAATGTGGTTGACCTGAACCTGCCACAGCACAGCTGGGTCCCCTTTCAGGGGCTGCACACACTGAGAGACAGCCTTGTTCCACACTCTCAGCAGAAGCAGCTGGGGTTAAATGACTCAGCCTTCAGGAACCCTTCCCTCCCTGGAGCTTAAGGACATCCTCCTCCTGAAGGTGCTTGGTGGAAAGACTTCGTGGGTCTAAGACCTATGCATACACACCCACCCGCACTGCATTCTGGATGTGCAGAAACTTGGACTCACAGCAGCAGAAGCTTCAGCTAGAAGTATCCAAGAGAACAAGAAGAAACTGAAGCCCAGAAAGGCAAAGGCCCTTCCCCCATCTGTAGCTCTCTAGATTAACTAACTTCTTAAAGATTTTAGCTGCTTTCTCCTTGGGAAGTTTGCATCAAAATTACAGTTTTTTTCCAAAGTGACTTTTTAAATCTTTCTCCCTATAAAGGTTCATCTTTTGACAAAGGAAAGAAGATGGGGAGAGAGGGAAAGATGAAATATAAGAAGGAAGGGAAGAAGGTAAAGAAAAGAAGAAGGAGGAAACAAAGGGAGATAGAAGGAAGACAGGGAGGAGGTTGGGAGGGAGAAAGAAAGAACTACTGAGAAAAGTTCATACATTCAGCTTATTGTTTTTTTAGTCTTTGAAAATTATTAAAGAGACAGACAGTGTCATTTCAACCTAGAGGAAATCCAAGTGGTAACATCCTGGGGCCCTGGTAGGTCCCTCTCCCATCCTTCCTGAAATAAACTAGGTCTTCTTCTCCTCCATCCCCCACCAGCTTACCTTCACTGAAGACAAAATCTGAGATAATGTCAAAAGGTTGGATGTGGACCGCAGACAGGATCATGGTGACCATCTTCTGTGGATCACTAGAGGCTAGTGAAATGGTTTGTTGAGCTTGACACTCATAGGACTTCCCAGCGGGGGTGACCAAGGCAGAGAGGTGGTGTGAGTTGGCTGTGTGCTTCCCAGCTACAGCAAGATCCCAAAGCAATAGTTAGGCCCCGCTTGCTGGCAGAACTCTCATTGTTCCTAACCTAATGTGCCAGAGAGGTGGTTGTTGCCTCTCAGTTTCAGACCCCACACCCCTCCTGTCCTCTCTGTTCCCTTGTCGGGCTAAGGGCTCTACAAATGGCATCAAGTGGTGATGAAAGACAAACACACCTATTCTCTTGAGAGCCAGGGCTCTTTCAATATTAATTCGGAATTCCTGTTTTGAAGAGGAGAGTGATACCTAAAAACTCAACCCTTGTTACTGAATAAAACCTAGGCCGGGCATGGTGGGTCCTGCCTGTAATGCCAGAACTTTCGGAGGTCAAGGTGGGAGGATTGTTTGATCCCAAGATTTCTAGACCAGCCTGAGCAACATAGTGAGACCCCATCTTTGCAAATACACACAAGAACACACACACACACACATTACAAAATGAGTCTGGCATGGTGATGCAGGCCTGTATCTGGGGAAACTGGGGTGGGAGAATCTCTTGAACCCAGTAACTCACTCCAGGCTGCGGTGATCTATGATGGTGCCACTGCACTCCACCATGGGGACAGAGTGAGAACCCATTTCAAAAAAGAAAAAAAAAAAATCCCTAATGATGGAGATTCCAAAGACACAGAAGGAACTGTGACTTGGTTTTCTACATATCACATGGGCCTGACAAAGCCGGACAGATTGCTGGTCCACTGGATGGTTGTCCTTACACACATACATCCCCTCTGAAGGCCTGCGTCCCATTGCTCCTTTTCTGACCTAAGTTTGAGTTTTCCTTTTTCCTTTTTGGTCGAATTTAACTGGGGGACATCCTGCATGTAAACTTTGATGAAAAAGAAAAAATCCTCCTTTTACTGTGATGACAAAAAGGGGTGAAAAGGGAAAGATGACACATGCATTTTTATGTATTCATTAAAAATCCTTTCCCAACTCAGGTGCCTGGGTGATGAAAGGCCTCATTAAGAGTGAAACAGACAACTTATAAAGAATAAAATAAATTTAAATGTGGTCTTTGATGGTTTCTGCAGATAGGAATATTGTTATTTGGGGGATGAACGCTCCTTTTGCCGAGGAGGATCTGGGTGAGTTGTCAGAGGGATGGGCCAGAAACGCTAGTAAATTATACATGGTGCAGAGTCCACTCTCAGGTGGCTGCAGTCGATGACTGAATATCCCGTGCGAGCCACGCTGCCATGCGCAAAAAGACACTGAAGGCCGTCACATCCTGACCGAAAAGGAAAGTCGCACTGCCCCCTTGCAGTTTTAGCGCATAAGAAACAAAACCAGGGTGCGGAAGAAAATTAAAATGCAGCTTTGCCCTTCTCCGAGGTCCTTCAAAGGCCAAATCATAAGAGGTCGTTTTGAAGCACCAGGGAACGGCAGATCTTCAAGGGACTTCTCATCTAGGATCAGGCCACGGGTGACGTTTGGGTACCCATGCCTGTGATTCCTGGCGGATCTACAAGGCCTGAGACCCAGAAGACCCATGGGCACTCCCGCCTCTTCCGCCCTAAAGAGCAAGCCGAGAAAGACTTGGCCTCAGAGCGCAAAGCCTGGAACGGTTTCCAAAACCCTGAGGAATTCTCTCTCCAAGTCTGCTCTGCGAGTTCCCAGGCTCCTTCCCCAGCCATGCCGGCCTCTACTCACCACTGACTGCGTCTTTGAAGTGGGTCTTCTCGGAGGAGTCGTAGACAAACTGCACTTTGCTCAGCCTCCAAGTCCCCTCAGGTCCCTTGGACGTGTTGTGGCTTTCCTGTTGAGCCAGGGAGGCGCGCTTCAATCGCCCCCGCAGCGTCTGGGTTCTTAAACCCGGGGCCCGCCACTTCCCACACCCACGCGCAGCCTGCGTCCCCTCTGCCCGCTGGGCTCGGAGTTACCTTTACAAAGAGCATTTTGAGTGCGTAGGCGCGATCCACCCAGAACACTTGCAGCTCCGACTCGCTGTGGCCACAGCGGCCCTTCACCTCAGCTCCCCGGGTCAGTGCGATATCAGCCTGTTCTGTGATCAGCTGGGAACACAGACGCCCCGCGCCCCCTCAGCTCGCCTGGCCCTGGGGCGGGGGCTGTAAAGGGCGGCGCGTCCAAACTCTGGGTTGCACGCTTGGGCGCTTCTTTGCGCGCGCGCATCCCAGGTTCCGGGAACATGCAGTTAGATGCTCTACGTGCAGCCCCGGCCGATAGGGAAGCGGAGAGAAGGGGGTTTACTTTCAAAGCAGGCAGGGGAGCAGAAGGCATTACAAGCTGGAATCCCCATGCAGCATTCGGGAGCAGCCTGCAGGGGTGTGGGGAAGAAGGCGGGCAACCCAGATTTCCGAAGGGCCTTGAGGAAGGGTGCCCTTCGCCCTGGAGCCCTAGGAGGAAGCTGAGGGGGAAAAGATTCCTTACATCTACGTAATTGCTGGCCCACACATCATAAGGTACAATAAATTTGGCTGCAAACTCTGCCATGAGACACGTCGTCCCATTTTCCCGCACCACAAATATATCTTTTTCAGGGTTAGTGGAAAGGCCTGAGAGATTTTCCACTTCTTGTTCTGCCATGATTTGAGCCATTGTATCTGCGGAACAAACAAAACAATTCCATCAGTTCAGGACTCAGAGAGCCCACGCGCCTCGGGCGCTAGGGTGGGGAAACAGTGGTCTGCAGGCTTTGGAGTGACAAAGTTCTCTACCAGCAGCTGCGCGCTCTACGAGCCTTTTCTCTAGCCCGGGTCTAACAAGCTTCATTCCTTCCCTGTTAATTAATAATGAAAATACGATTTTAAAAATAATTTAAAAATCATGACTTTGTTTGTAATATAGCTGACCGTTTTCTACATCTTGGGATTTTAAACTAAGTATTTCTTGCCAATGCTCTGACTTCACGAAGCTGGCCTGTCTAGGCTCTGTCTGCAATATGCCACACAGGTGTATGGCTCTCACGGGAATTCCCTGCCACCGGCGGGGGAGGCCCTGCCTCCTCCCCTAAAAGAAAAAAAAAAAGAAAAGAAAAGAAAAAGAAACCCAGCAAAACATTAAGGGCCATATTTTTTTATCTTAAGCTAATTGGCTTTACTTTGCCAGCTCTGTTTTCTGCAAAGAGTGCATCCCGTCCTCTCTCTCCGTCGCCAAATCGTTACTCACGGAACAACATCAGGAGAACTCGAAGTCTATCGACGCTGGGGACCGCTCTTCCTTGGAGATCCATACTCGCAGTGCAGCGAATGAGGCCAGCTGTGCTACTGCAGAGGCCGCCCGAGAGGGAATCCCTCAAAGTCGCCGCTGGAGTGGGCCGGGGTGAGCGAGGGGCGGGGGACAGAGAAGGAGGAGGGAGGGAGCGCGTATTCTGTGAGCGCTGGCTAGGACTCCGTGTGGAGTGCGGCACCGACAGCTGCTGGCAGAGCAAATCAGCTCACTGCAGAGGAAAGGACCGCGCGGCGAGGGAGCTGTCCACGGCTGCGAGTGCTGAAAGCAATCCGATTGTGTGGCAGGAGTGGCTGTGGCTTGGCTTGTGCGGAGGGCCAATGAGATTTGGGGGTACCTAAAATTCTCCCTGGTTCTGTTTCCTGTTCTGCAATTGCATCCGCAAATATGCGTCTGTTCTGAGAAACTTAACACCACCCTCAGACTTCTTAAATCTCCTTATCAGGTACAGTTATTACATGGTGTAGATACCATACCACTGGAGTTAGTCTTCTGAAAATGCATCTGGTTCCTGGAAGAAAACGGTGGAGCAAAAATTGTTGCTGCTTTGAGGGAGGAGGGCTATGTAGGAATAGAGAAGAGAAAATGCTATGGCAACAGTTTCCTGAATTTGGAGACATCCCTTTCTCTCCCTTGCTCTCAATGAGCTCATGGGTTTAAAGTAAAATTGACGCCTCCTCAAACGAAGTCATCAGACAATGCAGTAGCTCCATGTGGGCTTATTTTCCTGTAAATTTTGCTCCCGGGAGCATGAGGACTCTGAACTCTGGGATCACCTATCCTCTTGCATTATACCGTGACCACTCTGCCAAGAAGGGATGCAAGCAAATCAGAAGTTTTTGAGAGTTATCCGTTATCTCTTAGGACAGAAATTTTAGAATTATGCCCTAAATACTGTCACATAGTTATGTAAGAAAAACACACACTGATACTACTCTAAAGCCTCTAGTGGAACAGAAAAACAAATATTACTGGGCTAATTCCTATATTTACATATTTGGTAGCTTGCTTATTTTTTATTTTTGCTCTATAAATCAGAATACAGCTTTCAAAAATACACATGCAGTCCTCATCAATTGTAGTGATGTCCAAATATTTTATTCCTTAGAAGATATTTCATGATGCAAATAAATGTTGTATCAGTAATATAATGTTATAAAACGATGTCATATCAAAGGGAAAATTGTAAAGTATTTCACCTGCATTATCTAATTTGATTCTCTCCAATCTTAGAAGGTAGGCAAGGAAAGATACAAGTTACTGTGGTTTTACATACCCCAAAACTGAGGCTCAACTAAACTAAATGACCTTCCCAAATGTCACATGGTCAGTTAGAATTAAAATACAAAAATCACATGCTTTAACTCCGTAAAGATTATCTTCATTTCTCCTTACATAATATTTTTACTCCATATTTTGATTTCCATAAAAATCTTTATTCAATATCAAATAATAATCAGAAACCTGAAATCTCTATCATTAATTCACATTCTTGAAATTTATAGAATGCTGTTTTAAATATAATCACATTCTGACATATCTGCTACAAAGTATCTATATAATGCTTTGGCTTTCAAACATATTCCTATATCAATCATTAGATCACTAGCAATTCAAATTATAAAGTAATATTAAAATTGATACTATATTTTGACATTTTGACTTTCATGTTTATATTTCAGTGTTTCATCCAAACATTTCTCAAGAGCTTTACAAAGATGATTATATATAGAAGAATTGGTACAAATTTTACAGGAGAACTTAACAGAAATGATTTTATACAGAAGATTGATATAAGGTTAATTCTTACCAGTTGAAAGTGGAAGATATAACATTTGTATGTGTTACATTTTTTCATGTTGGCAATTATTATTGATCACTTATTTTTCTGCAGTAATGGAAAACTGGAAAACAATGAGACATGTAATGAAGTATTTATTATCTCTCTCTCTCTCTCTCTCTCTCTCTCTCCAGTATTTTATGAGGACAGAAATTAGTAGATTTCAGTTCAGGATTCATTACTTATTACTTTTGTGATCTTCTAAAGATTTTATTTTTTCTCACCTGTAAAATTGGTAAAATAACTCAGAGGATGGCTAGTTAGACCAAATGGGCCGATGAATATAAAAGCACTCTAAACAAATTACAAATAGATCCATAAACATTAACCGAATATGTACTACTTCCGCTATGCTTGATGTTTTGAAAACCAAAAGATATTTATCATTACACAAGTAGGAGAGATACCTATAAGAGATTATGACAATTTCTCTTATGACATGTTATTGCAGGTATCTTCATTACATAAGTTGCTAAAAGATCAACTGAATTAATTATCATCTGTCTTAATGATAAAAGATTAAATGAGTAGTAGCATTGGTCATTGATCTTAAAATGTTGTAGTTGATTTACAGATCAGATGGTTGTTCCTTTGAAAATTACACCTGATATAAGTGATCTCTTCGTTGACACTGGAGAGTGTACCCTAGAGTACTCAAATGAGTTGAAAAAAGAAAGGAAGCAATTTTAACCCTTTTTTGGGGGAGGATTATTTTCAAAGCACAATCAGTTCAATGACTTTTTAATGTTTAATCTTAAACATGGCTAACAAATGCCCATTAATTTATCATCTTATCCACTATGATACATTGCAATAGGAGTTGGGTCATTATACCTACAACTTTCACTTACATTAATTAAATATCTTTCTAATCATTCTGAAAAAAGTCTTTGGTTCTCTAAAAGAAGCAAAGAGGTGATCAAGGAGCAAAATTTACCATTAAATTGCATTTTAATATATTAACAATGTTTCCCAGAATTTGTTCTGTTTTTCATTTCTCAGGTCTAAAAGATGGTAGGATAAATTGACAAAAATATGTATACCTGCATAGGTGGTGACTGTGTCAAATTTTATTATTGCTGTTGGTGGTCAATAGAAATTGTTACGGTGTGATGTGACCTAAATACACTGGATTTGGGATCTCCTCTAGATCCTTTAGGTCCTTCAAAGGCTGTTTTTCCATTCATATAGATACTTACTGAATTAGCCTTTATGAATATCATGCCATTGAGTGGTTGCTGCTTTATAAAAGTGCAAGAAGAGGCCCCTGCATAGAACTTTCAATTTAGATGAGAAAAAATAATAATTTACATAAAGACGCCAGTTAGCCTGGCACAGTGTCTGCATAAATGTTTAGGGGGAAAAAAAGTAAGACAGGCATCCCAGGTGGGAGAGTGGTTGAAATTGGCCAAAAAAGGCCTCTTGGAGAAGTTGAGTCTTGAAAGAAGTTGACAAACTGATGTAGGGTGGAAGGAAGGATGCAGATAGAAGAAATATCTATTGAATAGGGAATCAATGCAAAGATGTAACTCTTCATCTGTCCATATTTATCCATTTGCAATAAAAAGCAAATTAGGCCCTAAATTCACAATGCCTTACGTACTATAGAACCCCTATTTTATTTCCTTATTTGATAATTTACCCACATATGGCATATGTAAAAGAATGGTATATGCTAAATTTATTCTAAATAAAATTAAACTTTTCAAGTTGTTAGAGGCATCTTTTTATACTTGGTTGTGCAAGCAATTGACTTGTTTTTGTAGAATCAAGCAACAAAATTACAAAAATTAATGAACAATCCTAATAAGAAAGGCATATTCATGAGCGTCAAAAGGAAAAGGCTGGGCTTTGTTGCAGCTGAAATTTGGTTTATTGGCATTTCAGTCCACTTTACATTAAAGTGTAAAAATGTACTCCTTGCTCTGTTGTCCCCACAGACATCAAGCCATCCCTCTGCAACCCACACGCAATGGAAGCACACCCGAATAACAGAAGCAGAAATAATTTAAACAAGCAAGATGCACACAGCTGTTAAGCCAGACTTTCTACTCACCAAAACCTTTTCTTGTGTTCAGTTTGTCATAGAACAATTATTTCATTTAATCATTGCCTTCGAAGACCTTTGCAACCCTTTCTAGGATCTAAACCCTTGTGGGATAGAAACTGAAAAATAAATGTATGCACAAGAATTATTTTTCAGTTTCTATCCCACAAGGGTTTAGATCCAGAGCAAAGAGTACAAAAATAAGTGTCTGCCTGAGCAATGTATGCACCAGAATATTTTGCGCATACATTGCTAAGCTCTAGAATCTTTGGAAAGTATAGGAAAATTGAGTTTAGGCTCCAATGCACTCAGTCTGCATGCCCTTGGTATAATTTCCCTCATCCTAGTACTTCTTTGGTGTCTCCTGCATCTACTCTAATGAAACAATGGTTATTTCTGCAATAAGGGTAACCAGTAGAGGAAATAAACCACCAGAATGATGGCCTTTTTATTGGCTATGTTCACACTAAGTCCTGAAAAAAAAATCATTTATGAGTTCATTTAGAAGAATTGCCTTCAGCATAGGGGAATATAGAGAAGAGCATCCTTATAGTAAACCCTGAATCAGTAAATGGTGAAGGGCCAGGTAATCATTCCTCAAAATTTCAGTAGCAAATAAATCATTTTTGTCTTTTGAATCTGTGATTAGTTAACTGTTTTGGTCAGTCTTACATTTTGGGTCAGTGATACACAATTCACTCTGCTATCTCAGCAGTGAGGAAAACCTTGTTAACTTGTGGGCAGGGGACCTTTCTGTAAGGTTGAATTAAAACTCATTTGAGGATTTTAAAAAATCTTTAATAAGTCTGTTCTCCAAGAAATGACATCTGTCACAATAGGCCTAAGGTTAGACAAGCTGTGTCTCATGTAACATATTTTGCTACCTGAATTCTGTGACAATGCAGTACCCTAAAAATCTCTGAGATATCACAGGAGTTCATTGTTCTCTTGATTAGTCTCTCTCTCTCTTTCTCTCTCTCTCTCTCTCTCTTTTTGAGACTCTCACTCTGTCGCCTAGGCTAGAGTGCAGTGGCACAATCTTCACTCACTGCAACCTCTGCCTCCTGGATTCAAACTATTATCCTGCCTCAAGCCTCCTGAGTAGCTGGGACTACAGGTGTGTTCCACCATGACTGGCTAATTTTTTGAATTTTTAGTAGAGACGGGGTTTCATTATGTTGGCCAGGCAGGTCTCGAACTCCTTACCTCATGATCTGCCTGCCTCAGCCTCCCAAAGTGCTGGAATTACAGGTGTAAGCCACCGTGACCGGCCAAGTTACTCTTTTAATTGTCTATCTGAAATTTTCTGCATATTAACTTGAAGATGTGTTTGGAACTAAGGAAAATTTATATTAATGGCCTTTGGGAAGGAGGGTGAGAGCTGAGTCCAGAGTCCACTGTCTCCTATTGAAGCTTTGCTGGCATTGTAGCTGGAGTCCTGGAATTCCCTGGGGTGCTCTGATGTAAGTTGAGGACTTTCTCTCTCTCTTTCTCTCTCTCTCTCTCTCTCTCTCTCTCTCTCTCTCTCTCTCATTGTGAAAGCGTAGCAAGATGTTTTAGTAACAAGGTAGTCCAAAGAGGAGAGTGTATTGGAAAGGCGAATGGGATGGGAGTCTAAGAAGTGATATGTTAGTTATGACTGTATTACTCTATTAGCGACAACATCTGGAAGGAGTGGCTTCACTTCTCTGGTCTTCGACATACCTTTCCTAAAGGATCGCTCCAGGACTACATGCCCCAAGCCTCTGAGTGATCTTAGT